GAAAAACCTTTTATGTATCTTGGGTATGTGAATATGATTGTAAGTAAAACTGTCTACTTCTCGGTATACTTGTGCGACCTGCCCACGGCAGCTGATAAGGCAGAGTATAAGGGGAGGAAGCGCAGTCCGTCTGTGAAAGTTATATAAGTTGTGATGAAGACCCATAAGATGGTCTCTCAGTGATGTTCTGTTTTATGATGGGACCCCCTTAGATTTTGGAAAAGGGAGGGGATGTTTTGTGATGTTTTGTGATGTAACGAAACCCCTCGTGACCTTGAGAGAGGGGGTGTTTGATTTATGATGAGACCCTCGTGATTTCTGGAAGAGGGAATGTATTGTTTTATGGCGAGACCCCTCGCGATTTTTGGAAGAGGGGGTGTTTTGTTTATGAAGAGAGTCCATTTTGGATTGTTGGAAAAGGGGAGTGGTTTTTTTGTTGGAAGACTCATCCTCAGAAGTGAGTAAATTGATTTATGGCATGATGAGTTGTTCGATGGGTGATAAAGTCTGACGGAAAGGGGGCACTTTTTGTTTGAAATGTTTGAGAAAGTCGCAATGAGTACAGGGCAAGAGATGTTTCAGGGTGGGTGGCTGCTGGCTCTGATCAAGTCAGGGGTCACGGCCTGGTGGATTTAGTGGTGATTTTGCTTGTAAGCGTGCGAAGGAGGTCATGCCTATTGAATGAGGGCTGGTAAATGCCTTCGGACCCCTGCGTATCGCGCAGTGGGCCTGTGATTTTGTTTTGACGCACCCGTTTAACCACTGGTGCTAATTCTGAGACATATTAAAGAAAGGTCAAGATAACGGAAAAAAAGTTAGTACCTCTAGGGCGTAACCCCATTGGATGACTGCTAACCGGCGCAACCTGGTTGCGGGACCAGGGGGTAAGAGTTTAAGGGGAGTTACCCGCCCCAGGGAAATTACTCCGTGGGATAGTGAAGGTTGAGATTTTGGGAGGTTCTGATTGAGTGCCTATCAGGAGAAACCCTATCGTTGCGTAACCAACGAGGGTACTGCCGTTAAATAACAATGCGGTCCTTTCTGTACTAGACTGCAGAAAGAGCGGAGTGGATATTAAGTTTACATATATACTTATATGTATTTGATTGCGAGAGATTTTGAGAAGGAAGGCGAGAGTGCCTTCAAAGGTCTCGGTTAAGGCCCGCGTCCCTAGTTTTTGTCAAGACTAGGGACACCCAACGAGAAGCCGAAGGTTGTCTAGGACCGGGAAGAGGATGATTGGGAAGGTCTTTGGAACTTATGCTGTCATTGTCCTAATTTCTGGACGGTGTGAGGCCCAGGTTAGAAACCTGGCAGCATATAGTTGTGAAGGCATGGTTTGATGGAGACCTCTACCCTGTGTTTGTCGGCTAATCGGATTGGCTCACTTTTTTCGTCAGCATTTGGAGTGTGAATGTATTTATAGCTTTCAGATTTGGCGAAGCGACGGGGACGTCGCTTAATATGGTCCGGTAAGGCTGTCGGTGCGAATACCCTTACAAGGGTGTCCGCCCTGTTTTTTTGCAGGTGACAGAAAATAGTTTTAGTTTAAAGTTTAAGTATGTCGCACTAGGCGCGGCAGTGTCTGCGATTACGTTGACAGGATGGCTGACTAGAGTAAAGAGTGCGTGGGCGCGCAGGTTGGAGGCGCGCGTGATTGCGTTTCTAGCGTTGATTACAGAGTCGGCGCAGACGCCGGTCAATTCGTTTCTATTTGTAACTTTACTCTTTTGTTTATTCTTGATCAAACTAGGTTTTAGGGGATACTTCTTTCCGATGGTTACGTTTGACCAAGTTGAGCATGCGTGTGGAGAACGACCCCGATGACGGCATCGGAAATAACGGCGCGATTTCGTGCGGTGAGCGGGATATCGTGGGATGGCGAGCAGGGCAATTATGGCATGGTATAGGCAAGTCGGCGCGGGCACTGAGAGTCGCGCATCCGTTTTTGTTGGCCCAAAGCGCCGCGCCGCACCGTCTTATATGACACTCGACGTGTTTTGGTCTCAGGTTTGGGTTTAGCCCTGTAGGTTACGACATTCGGGATGACGATACAGAGATTCGGGGATCGAGGTCGGCGGACACCGATGTAGCAGTGGCAGCGGAGCGGCGTGGAGAAAATCGGAGGGGTCGAGGGCCCGACGGGGCTATCCCCCTTCGTTTTTGTTTACAAGCGCGACCGAAGGGGGCTGATTCGTGAGGCTGCCCGTTAAAAGTTCCCTGTTTCAGTTTTATTATTTTTGTTTAGCATCCGTTTTAGTTTCGTTTACTCGCGTCCCGTCCTAGGGCGCGATATCGGGCCTAATATCGGGCCCCGGGAAGTAGGTTGCATTCGCAGGGATGCCTGAAGTGCTGTGGCAAACTGTCCTCGCGGGCTGCGTCGAAGCCATACCCGTGTTGCCTTGAGGCACAGTGCCGTAGGTGGGGTGCGGGGCCGCGGCTACCTTTGGGGCCTATGGGCCTAGCTCAGCGGTATACCCTTGGACTATTGAAATACAGACCTGGGCTCGAATCCGGATGGTGGGGTTTGGTCGATGAGGGAGACCAAATATTATGAGTCGTCTGTTGACCCCGCGACCCAGACCATGTCCTTCGGGACATCCGTTAAAATTGGAACGATACAGAGAAGATTAGCATGCCCTCTACGCAAAGATGACAGGCATAAATCGGGCGCGTCGCATCTGTTTCGATCGGGTCGCGGCGCGTTTCGGGACTGTGGTGTGACCTCCAGTCGGCATCGGCAGGCACGAACGGGAGCGCTGAGGCAGAGGTAGAGGGGAGACGACGGGTCAAGGCACCGGGTACAGGGAAAACGGAATAGGGAACGGATCTGGATGGGGGTTAGCGCAGGGTGCATGCAGGACAGATGGCACAGCTAAGGTGAGGGGGCGAGCGTGCCGCAGCAGGGAGAGCATAACTCGCTCGTTTCTGAACGGAAACGAGCGAGGGAAGAAGCTAGACGTGGGTTTCTAGGTCGGGCGAACCCGATTATACGGTCAGTTTTTGTATAGGATTAGTAGAATTGAAGGTAGAGAAGGAATGGACTGCGCAGAGGTACGGCGGAAGTTGGCTATGGTGGGGAAGAAAAGCGTCTGGATCGCCCGTTCCTTAATGAGAACGGGCCGAGTGAACAGTCGTTTCAGGGGTTTTCACAGTGGGCGAATCCGAATATGGGGTCAGATTAGCGAGAAGGTTAGTAGATTAGGAGTTAGTCGGAAAGGTAGATGCGGGGAGATGGTGGGAGCCGGCTATGGCAGGGGCCGGAAGGAACGTTTTTGCACCTATTTCTTGATAAACACGGGCGATGTAAAAGTCCATCCGGGGGTATTGAAGTTGGGCGACCCCGGATCTGAAATTAGTTTAGCAAAGGAATTAGTAGATTTAGAAGTAAGTAGGAATGGGTGTGCGCGGTGCTGCGCACGGGAGGATTTCTATTTCGTGAAAATGACATGTATCTTTCCGCGTTCCAGCGGAAGATTCATTCGAATTTTTATGTGTTTGGAAGGGTACGATTGAGGGTGCGAAACAGAGAGAGAGAGAGAGGGAGAGAGAGAGAGAAAGAGAGAGTACGTGTCGAGCTTACCTGCCTCGCAGGACTGTCGATACGGGACGAATCGAAGGATCAGCTCTTGGTTCCCGCGGTGAGGGCTCAAAAGGTTGTGTGGAGCTATCGAGTGACCGGGTTATAGCAGGAGACTTGGTCGAGGGGTGCATGTACCTGTGGGAAGGGGAGGACTCGACCGCTGATACGGGCCAGACGTCGATGAAGGGCTGCTCAGTTCGGGATGTCTGTGTCGCTATACGTGATGACGGATGCTTGACAGGGGCGACTCCCTGGTTCAGTGGGTGGTGGGAGTCGGCAGTTTGCGGGGTTCGATCATGATGTGAAGTCGGTCGAGTGGCGCCTTGCCTCCGTAGAGGATGTGTGCGGTGATGTACGGAGTGAATGAGTTGTTCGTTTGGTTCGTGACTGCTCCGGTGCTACTATGCCTTCCGTAACTACCGTTATAATCGATGGTGATCGTCAGGCACCTCGTATCTGATGACCTGCCAAGAGTATCCTCGCACGGACGCTGCCCATCGAAAAGTGGGGCCCTTTTGATCCTGTCGGCTAGGATCTCTGTTGAGACCGTAATGATAGTACTCGGTGTAAAATAAGGAGGGAGGGGGCGCTATCACAGAGAAAACCGAGAGGAAAGGACGCAGCGGGGCATCGGGGAACAGTTATGCAGGAGTGCAAGAAGCAGGGAGGCGAGAGGAGGAAGTAGGAGTTTGTCTTGAGACCACGACCTGTGGATACGACTGTGGGCTATGAGCCTATGCTATCACTGCATACTGTGTTGTCAGGGGGCACTCACCATGCGTTAGGCACACAGTTTGTTAAGTGACATCGGACTGGTGCTTGGCCCATGTCACACAGTTGTTGTGCATGTGGCATCGTCTTACCCTTGCTGCCGGGCACACTGGGTCTGTTATGGGGACCTAGCTGCTGAGGTGCCGGCATATGTGCTTGCTGCAAGCGGCTGTTTGTTGGAGGGTCGTTGCTGAGCCTGAAAAGATCACTGGACGCTGTTGTTTGCTGAGAAGCCGTTGTCCATGTTGTTGTTTGCGGTGCCATCAGACCACCAYTGATCCGAGCACTTGCTGTGCTCTTTGAACTCGCGCCATTGCTGGTGTTGGTGATGTCATGAGCACGGTGGTTGTATAGAGCCGTGTGATTGCAGTTTTTATCRCAGGAAAACGAAGGTGGTATGATCAGGTTTATGGAGGGGGTTATTGCTGTGATCCGAGAGGTCGTCAGAGGGTTACCGCTACGGCTTGAAGTTTCGTCAGGGTGTCATTTTGTCAACGGTCTGACGTCGAGTGGACCAACGACCGCGCGCTTGGCCACCATTGCGGGGCCCTCAGGCGCGTCAAGGAATCAAGGCCCTCTCATGTGAGTCTGAAAGTACCTCTCTTGGATCTGAGAGTCTAAAGCTTTCTCCTTCTACCTTTCTTACTCTAAGTCTCAGTCTAGTCTCTGGTTACGAGAGGAAGGCGGCAGGCATGATTGCAACCCGTAGGTCCGCATCAAGACTMTGTGGGGAGTCCACCCACCGATTGCGGGAGCTCTGTYGTAACTCAGGAGGAGTTMTGGAGGCAGGGAACCTTCAGGTAAATCATCTTTATCTGTATAAACCCCACTACTACCCATGTTTGCCTATCTCCCTGCAGTATGATTGTTGTATGCATGCGTTTGTCCCTATGGTTTTTGCTTTCTCTTCAGGACCTAATCAGAATAACTGGAAATAATGTGTGAGAGTGAAGCCTAAGTTTCTATTTTTGTTCTGATTGAAAGCAGACTAAGGACGAATTGGGGGAAGGTGGAAGGAAGGTAGACTGCATGCGTTTGATCGGGTCAACCAAAGCCTTGAGCATTATTTCTACTGTGAATGGCTCAGGGCTATGTTTATTTGGATGTTTTCTGAAGGACCAGGCATTGTTTCTACTGTGAATGGCCTGGTCGCTGTGTTTATTTGATTGTTTTCTGGGGAGCCAGGCATTGTTTCTACTGTGAATGGCCTGGCTACCTTAGTTAACTTTGAGGGTTGTCTGATTGAAGGAGTTTAAATTCTTGTTTATTTTGAGGGAGGATTTTTTGTCTAAGGCTAAGCATTGTTTCCATGGTGAATGGTTTAGCCTTAAAACCACGCACATAA